GTCTGTGAGAAGAAACCTGCTTTTGATCATTTCTCTAGAGATCTGGGTGTGCATCCTTTTTTGCCTCAGAGGTGGGTGGTGAGAGACGGCCCAGCTGTCTAAGGCCAGGCATCCCCACAGGGAGGAGGCACAGGGGCCAAGTGGGCTCTCTCTGGGAGCCTGCTCTGTTCTTTCCGAGTGCTGCGTGGGACTGAGGCAGGGTGCTCCCAACTAGCCTGCGCAGTCCTGAAGACCATTTGAAGGGCAGGGCCCTTGGTGCTACATTCATAGTCTGCGATAGCAGCTCAGGCCTCACCAGGAGGAAGGGACAGCAGCCATGTGGATTGTCCAGCGCACTGTGGCTCAGGTCCAGATGCCTGGTGGTCATTGCTTGAGCACCTGAACATCATCCTTGGGTCAGGGAAGCTGCTCTGCCTCCAGTGTGATCAGTTGACAGTTTCTCAACCTCGGCGAAGACCCCTGACAATGGTGGCCTCCGCATCATCACTACTTTCTGGGCGCCTACCCTGAGGACCGCCTCCTTCAGAGCCAGGCTCTTATTCCAGCCTCCACAGTCAAGGCTTCTTGATTTGTATTTTCCAGGCAAGAGAACTTTGTATCCCTTTTTTTAAGTATGGATAGATTACCCAATGTTTATACTCTTTAGAAATGCCTAAAAGTGTTGCTATGTTTTAGATGGATCTGTCAAATAGTTTAAAGGGAGGTAGAAGGTTTGCCTCATGGGTTCCACCTGCGGACTCATCAGGGAGCTGGTGCCCACCAGTGCCTTTGTCGCATCTGGGATGGAGGCTGGGTGGAGGCCCTGTCCCCTGGCTTCTGGAACTGACACTCCGAGTCACGTTGAAGATTCGGGATGTTTACAGTGCATCATGTGTCTCTTCCTCTCCGGCTCTGTTATCTCTGTATAACTATGCAGTTCTTCTTTCTAATACTCCTGGAGCATTTGAGACTTGACACAACCTACATGACCCAGCCAGTGTGCCATCGAGGCTGCTGGGGTTGCTGTAGAGGCTGCCCCCTGCAGGCTCTGAGACTCTTCAGTGGGGGCTGGGGGCCTGGCCCCAGTGAGCAAGCTCTGCCTCTTGATCTCTGCTTGCCAGGAGAGCTGTGCAGACTGACCATTGGAGTTGCCTGTGTGAGGTCAGAGGCTCTGACACTGTCTAATGTCAATGCTTCCAGAAACTTCTTGCCTAGGTCCTCTTTTTTTTCTTCTTTGCCAATAACCTGATTAACTAAGTTCTCCAGCATCTAGGATTTACCTCCTCCTTTCATAAGGCCTCTTGTATGTTGTTAAAGGTTCAGCTTAAACAATTTATAAAAACCTTTCTATAGGGCAGATTTAGCCACTGGCTGACCCGGTCCTCCCAGCAGAGCTCCAAGGGAAGGTGTCCCTGTGTTGGCCCTGGGGAACTGCTGGGTGCTTAGCATTTTTTGATTTTGACATTGACATAATAGATAGGCTTGTGGGTTGTTTTGTTTTTGTTTTTTAATTTAAAAATATTAAGACTTAATTCACTAAAATTTATTCTAAGGGGATATTTATACTTTTGTACTTTTTTAGGTATCCGTATTTTATCAGCTTACCATTTAATGCCTAAGTTTCCCCTGAAAATAGCAAATAAAATTGTGTATTTATGAATGAGCCCAGCAACTCTAGTGTCTTCAAATGCATGCAAAGCTACTGCCGGGAGCGCCACACTGCTCACCCAAGGGCCCCGCCCTCTCAGACATATAGCTCCCACTTGAGCAAGGGCCCCACCCCCAGTGTCCCCTAGAGGTGTGACTCCCTGCTATTGATCAGACTCTCTGCCACCTGAATTCCTGCCTTGTCCCTCCTGTTTCCAGGTGTGCAGCTCCTCTTTCAACTGGTGGTCTAACCCAACCCAGGGCTCTGTTGGGGGCTGTTGTGTTTATCCAAGTTAGGATGGAGGGTGGGGGTCACCCATGTGGGGCCAAGAGTTCAGGCTTTCAGGTGTCTGGATACAGCCTGGGGCACATGGAAAGGAGTCCAGGTGTAGCTCGAGGTCTTTCTGATGGCAGCCAGGACCTGGACGTGCTGAGGCACTTCAGCTGGGCAAGGCCAAGAGCACTTGGGAGGGGCTTCAGCATGGTAGGTGTTCCTTCTGAACAGAAGACTAAGTAGGAGACAGCTTTACAGTCTACTGGGTCAGCTGGGCAGGGAGGGAGCCCCACCCTGCTCAGTGTGAGCTTTCTTGTCACCGAGACAAAACAACTTGGAGGGGCTGGAGTTGTGGCTCAGTGGTAGAATGCTTGCTGAGCATGTGTAAGGCACTGAGTTCGATTCTCAGCACCTCATATAAACAAGTGAATAAAATAAAGGTCCATCATCAACTAAAATAATATTAAAAAAAAAAAAAACTTGGAGGAGGACAGGTTTATTTATTCTGACTTAGTTTCTGAGGTTCCAGTAGGTAGTCGCCTGGCTCTGTGGGCTTGGGTCTTTGGCAAGGCAGGATGTGGAGGGGAGGATATGGTGGAGTGGACCTGCTGACCTCGTGGCAGCCAGGAAGGAGCTGGTGATGAGTACCTCTCCTGCAGTCCATTCAGTTATGAGCCCATCAATGGATTAATCCATTGATCAGCCCCCTCATGATCCAGTCACTTCCCTAGATCCCCACCTCTGAACACTGGGCGCCAAGCACATGGACCTCTGGGGTGTCCCAGATCTGAAATACAGTGGTAGGCACAGCCCCCCACCATGGAGGGGGTCCCTGGAGCACCACTCGGCATTGTGAGGGTTGTCAGCCCTGGTGGCTCCAGGAAGCAGGTGGGGGACAGAAGAGGCTTGGGGCTGCCACGAGGTCAGCAGCTCCGCTCCACCACACCCTCCCCTCCACATCCCACCTTGCCACAGACCCAAGTGACCACCTACTGGAACCTCTGAAACTGAGCCAGAATAAACCTGTCCTCCTCCAAGTTTTTTGTTGTTGTTTTTGTTTTTTAAATATTATTTTATTGGACCCCCAAGTAGGTCCCCAGCTGCTGGGCATTCTGCAGAGGCCATGCCTTTACTGTCCAGGGTACCACATGGGGGCAGGGGCCACACCTCTGGTTGGCTGGTGCCCGAGCCCAGCCCAGGAGATGGAGAGCTGATCCCCCCAGTGCTGGCACTGGGGGTGAAAGCCCTTCAGTCTTGGCACCATCCATCCATGAGTGGGAACAGCACCGCCTTGATCCCTTTGGACAGACTGAGCTTTCTGAGGAAAGTAGTGTTGATACTGGGAGCAGGGGTATCCCTGGCTTTGGGGCTCTCCCTCTGCCACACCCCTACCTGTCCTACATTCTGAGCACCTAAGTTGGATGGTGGCATTGGGCAGGGCCACTTGGCCCTCAGGTCTTCTGCTCCCACACATGTTCCTGGGCCCCAGGTTGATGGGGCAAGAAGGGTCCCCTCCCAGCACTTTTTCTCCTGGGTTTCCACAGGCCGATCGTGGTGCCTGCACATGTGTGTCTTCATGGATGGTACTGTGTTTATGGCAGCGGATGCTCTAGTGTCACCTGCTCTGAGCACCAGTGGGGAAGGTTCCCTCCCTGGCCCTCTGCCTGGCTGTGCCAGCTGCTCCCTGCAGCTGGTGCCCTGGTGCCACCCACCTGGCAGATCACTGGAGACTGCCTGGTGGCTATGTGGAAAATTCCATCTGAGCCCCCTCACACCCAGCATGCAGAAGAGCTTGCAGCAACCTGGGGTGTTTCTCCTCCGTCCTTACACACTGAGCTTAGTGTGAGCTGTGACTTGCATAAAATAAACCTATTTCCCTTTTCAAGCCCTGGGCTCCAGGGTCTCTTGTGTTCCATGATGTCTGCCTGTGTAGTGTCTTCCCTAGGCTTGGCCCAGCCCAGCCACATGTCCTGGGGAAGCTGGGACAGAGGCTTCAGGTGTATAGGTGGGACATGTCACCGCACCTCCTCCAGTCTCCCATAACCCCACCCCAGGGTAGGCTCCTTAAAACCCACAATGGTTGCAGGCGCACTTCAAGGTGGGCCCCAAGCCAACACCTGTCAGCCAGGATGCCCAGAGCTTATTCCTGAGCTATCTCAGGAACTGCCCCCCAACCTGGGCTCCAGGGCAACTACTCCCCTCATAGGACAGAAGAGCAGCCCCTCCTGGACCAGACACCCACCCTGGTCTGAAGCAGGAGCTCAGCACATGATCTATCCACAGAGGCCACCAAGTGGCCCAGGGGACTCCTGGTGGTGGTCCCTACTATGCTCCTGTGGTCTACAGCACCTGTGCCAAGCAGCCACTTCCACAGATAGCAGTGCCTGCAGCTAGCACCACGTGGGGCAGGCAGCTGTGTGTGGCCATCAATGCACATACATGGGTGTGTCCAACCCCTCTGCTTCAGACTCCCCAGTGTTGAAAAGGGAGGACATGGGGTGAATGTCCCTGGAGGAAGCTGTGGGGCTGGACTGTGCAGGGCCTGGGCACTCCCCAAGGCAACAGCTAACACTGCTTAGAGAAGCCTCCGGTGGAGCGGGGAAGGTGCCTGGGGAAGGAGGCTGTAGTTCCCCAGTGTGGTCCTGCCTCCTCAGCCCCCCACCCCACCCTGGGCAGGGTTCCTGCAGAGGCACTGGCTGGCTTGTAACCCAACTTTCTACGTGTGTTGGTCGCTGTCCATGTTCCCAGCATGGGGCAGCTCTTGGCAGATACTCAGGTGGGGAAACTGGGGCACGTGGTGACAGCAAAGCAGCCTCCTGTGAGGAGGTCTGGGACAGCATCACAGGACAGAACAGTCCTGGGACCCAGTGGCATCCTAGCCTGGTATGCCTCCCATGGTTCCACCTGCCAGGGACCAAACCCTCCAAATCTTCCCCCCAACTCAGCCCCAGACCCCCAAAGGTCCCAACCTGAGGGGCACTATTTTTATTGGAAGTGAATATAAATAAAAGTGACAGGTGTTTGAGGGAGGGGAGGATGGAAGCCTATTTACAAATGTACACCCTGGGTGGGGCTTCACCTGGTCCCAGCCTGGGAGGGCTCAGAGGAAGGCAGGCAGCATCAGGAAGGCCAGCAGCACCATGTGGGCAGCCAGGCAGGGTGCTGAGTTCTGACCAAGGCGCTGCTGGCCTTGGGTGTCTCGCTGCTGGCCACCCTCCCTCCCTGACTGGAACTGCAGCTCAGGGATGATCCCCTGGATCCAGTTGTGGTGGGAAGTGACCCGGATGTAGACACCTGGGCGGTTCCGGCGTGCACAGCCCTCGCCCCAGCTGATCACCCCAGCCTGCACCCATGACTGGTCCACAAGGCACACCAGGGGGCCCCCTGAATCACCCTACAAGGGAAACATAAGCCCCATTAGAGCCCAGGGCCAGCCTCGGGGGGGTAAACTTGCACTTATTGTTAGTCCCTTCCCGGGAGCCTCCTGCCTCGCCCCCATCTGCTGGTCCCACCTCTGTGGACAAGGGTGTTCCAGTCAACGGCATGTTCACCCCTGGTGGGGGGAGTTAGAAATGCAGCTTCCTGGGCCCGCCCAGATCCTAGGACCACTCCCAGGCTAGGGATGATGGGCACACAGCCCACCTTAGCCGGGGTACAGGTCAGGGCTGAGTCACCAGCTCGCCACACTGCCCCTACCTTACAGGCATCCTTCTTGCCCTCTGCGAAGCCTGCACAGAGCATGTCATCCTGGATGGTTCTGGGCTGGAAGCCAGACTCAGCATCTTTGCTGTAGAGCAGGTTGCACTTGGGCGTGTCAATAATGGGCACTGCAAGCTTCTGAAGGATCCTCGGATTGGGCAGGCGGTCTGGGGAGGGTCATGGCAGTCTGTGGTCAGTGGGCAGTCCAGCCAGAACCTCGTGGTCCTGGGTTCTTGAGAACCACAGCTGCCTGTCCCTCCCCAAGTTTCCTTTGTGTTTAGACTTTCTTTTCTGCTACAGGGCTTTGTAAAACTGCATTCCTCTTCCTTTCTTCCCCACACCAGACTGGGCTTCCTGTCCCTGACTCTGTGGCTGCTCCATTCCTAGCCCCACCCCATTTGTTTCAGCACAGGATATATATATATATACACACACACACACACACACACACACACACACACACACACACATATACATACCAATATCAACAGAAAATGGTTGTTGGTTCTGGACCTTCTCCAACACATCCCCCTTTATCCCCTGGCTCTGCCCCTTACCTTGCTCGCTGGGACTGCCCCAGCCAGTGACCCAGCAGTTCATGTCCTTCTCAAAGACAACTGAGGGATCAGGCACACACACAGGGAGGATGTAGTTGGTGAAGGCCACGGGTGCCTCTAGCTCCACCAGGGCCACATCAGCACTGGAGGCCATGCCCTGGTACAGGGGGTTGCTCTCCACCCGCCTCACGTGGGCGTACACGGCATGTGGCCCTGGCTGCAGCAGCTGGCGTGCCCCCAGCAGGACTCGGTACAGAGATGTTTCTGAGGTGCTGGTGGAAAAGAGCATAGAGCTGGTGTGAGCCTCCCTGCCAGGCAGCAGGGAACTGGGGGAGGGCATCTGGCTCACCACACTGCCTGACATCTCTACACATTGTCTCCCAAAGTGTCATCACTAGAGAGCTGCCCAGCAAATGAGGGGGCACAGAAGCTGAAGTTCTGTCCCTGGTACCAGGTGACTTAACAAATTCTCTAACTCAGTTTCCTCATTTGTAAGGTGGGGACTGAAAGGCCTGTTGTTTGAAGGAGATGACAATCCCCAGGTAACGCAGGGCCCAGCCCTGCCTGTGTGCCTTGGGCAGGCTGTGTGGTCTCTGAGGCTGAGTTTCTGAGTGTAGGATATGGACTTTCAGAAGAACCATAGGGCTTTGGTGAGGTGGGGGTGAGGCACTTGGGAAGCCCCAGGGGCTGGGACCGGGTGGGGTGGGGATCTGGCCCCCTACCCAGGTACTACATAGGTGGCCATAGAAGGATGAAGAAGATAGGGTATGCTCTTCAGAACTCTGGCTTGTCTGATACCAGAGAGAGGTGGATTGAGGTGGGTCAGGACCCCAGGTGCGTAGGGCCTTGGTGGAAAGCCAGCTGATGGGAGCAAGGGCTGGGGTCAGGGATCGCAGCTGGGAGTTAGGTCTGGCTTGACCTAAAGGAAACTCCTAGCTGGGAGGGGATTGCTGGACAGGCAGCAAGGCAGCAGCCCACAGGCCTGCAGTGGCCCAGCGCTGTCCCTGGTGCTGAACTGGCTTACTCTGGTCATTTGGGGGGACAGGGCAGGTGGGGGCTCACTCACTTGGAGAAGCAGTGTGCTGCGGTGAGGACCCACCGTTCTGTGATGAGGCTGCCTCCACAGAAGTGGCTCCCATTGCGCTGGATACTGACCTGCCAAGGCCACTCGCCATCCATGGCATCCTGCCCGCCCACCATCCGGTTCAGCATCCTGGGGTGCCCACAGGCTGGGGGAACAGGGGATGCTCCCTGGGGGCTGGTTCCATGGCTCTGATTCCAGCCCCAGTACCACACACCAACTTCTGCTCTGCTCAATTCCTGGTCTTCCTGGCCCCTGACCTGCTCGGGGACCTTGGGAAGTCAGAAGCCCAGAGCATTGATTGGAGTTTGATATAGGGAGATTCCCCCAGCCCTGCCCACCATTATTCTCAGGCCCTCACTACAACCTGCCCTGGGACTTTGTAAAACCTGGTTTCCAAGTCTTGTCCAGGTCTGCTTCATGCTCTGTGTTCTTGAATGGTCATGAGGGTTGAGCTATCCAAGGCCTGATGCAGCTCATGGAAGTATGGAAGCCAGGCATTGATTATCCTTCACAGGTAGGTGGCCCTGAGGGACAGGCTTGGTGCAGTGAGACAAGCCTCAGGTCTATGCTGGCCCTTTTCCTGACCCTGTGCAGTGCTTCGTGCCTGCTGTTCCTACCATGTCTTGACTTGCTGGGTGTGTGGTGGACCTTCTTCCTTCACTCCTTTCTGGGCTCCAGTTCTGATAAGCCACTGCCAGATGCCCTGCGCATTCCTCTGGGTCTTTCTTATTTATTTATGTATTTAGTAGTGAGGATTGAACCCAGGGGCTCTCTACTGCAGAGTTAYATCTCTAGCCATTTTACTTTTTCATTCTTTATTTTCAGTTGCCAAGGCTTGCATTGGACCTAGGATCCTCCTGCCTTAGCCTCCCAAGTTGCTGGAATTACAGGCATGTGCCTCCCTACCCAGCTTCCTTCTGCGGCTCCTTGCGTGTGATGTGGGGGGTGGTGGTGGTGGTGGTGGTGTGTGTGTGTGTGTGTGTGTGTGTGTGTGTGTGAATGGTGGGTGGGTGTTCTGGCCCATCCTGCAGCTCTCAGTCACGCCTGCTTACCTCTTAGAGCCTTGGCCCCCTGAGTTCCTGAAAGTGAACAAAAGGGATTGTCAGCCAACTTTTCCTATGCCCAGGTCTGTCCTCCCTTCACTCACCTGCACTCCCTCCCCTCAGGATAGCCATAGAGATCCAGAAGGAGAGAGCAGGAATCTTCAGCCGCTCCAGGTCTGGCCTGTGGGCAGAGCTTATCTGCAAGGGCAGCAAACTACTGGCCACATGGCAGGCCAACCAGGAGAGGCCAGTGTGGTGACCCTGTGACTCGACTTCCCCTGCTTGGAGCAGGATGACTCCTTTCTTGTCCCTTCAGGATTCTCTCCCTCCATGGCCCATCTCTGTCCAGGTCTGGAAGCTTTGAGGTTAGGGAATAGAAAACTCCAGCCCTGGTGCGTGGGGTCTGCCTTTCCCTTGGAGCCGCAAGGAGCTGGGGAGTGAGGATGCCCCGAGCCACCTCTGCATGTGGGCAGCCTGGAGCTTTGTAAAGCCTGGTTTCCAAGTCTTGTCCAGGTCTGCTTCATGCTCTGTGTTCTTGAATAGAATACCAGCCCTGCAGCCACAGGGGGCAGCCTCCTGAGACTCCAGATTCCCAGGGGCTGAGCCTGCTCCCAGGCCAAGAACCCTTGCTTCAAGGGACTGACAGAAAAGTGGAAGACAGCAAGCACCACTCTGGGTGAGGTGGCGACGCCTGAAATTCCATTTCCCAAGGCCTCTCACCCCCACACCCATTGCTGTGTTTAACCCAGTCCTGGTCCAGGCCCCCTGGAGAGAGACCTTTTAGCTCCACCCTCCCAGTTGTCTGTCCCTGGGGCAGGCATGTCAGAGCTGGATCCAAGAGAGCCATCTCTCCCTGTGGGGCTCCACATGTTCACTAAACCCCAGCCACTTTAAGAACCCAGAGGTGGGGGCTGCTCTTGTCAACCTTACCCAACCCAGGGACTTGCTGAGCCATGCATGGCCTGGGGTGCCCAAGGACCCTAAGGATTTCAGAGGTCCTCATTTTTCCTGCCAGGCTCCCGTTCCACACAGTCCTCAGTGCACAGCAGGGCAAGTTTCCCTGGGCAGGGTTGGATGGTGAAGGGAGGGGCAGCTGTGGACCAGGTGACAGGAAGCTAAGGCTCAGGGTAGGACTATTCACTTCTCAAAGTGGGGGTGCCAAGCAGAAGTGGGGGACAAGTGTGGTGTCAACCCAGATAGGCAGTTGGAAACAGGAAGGGTGCCCTGGACTGTCCTCTGAGTAACTTGTGTTCACAGTTAAAGTGTGAATGCTCCAGGGAGGGTTGTCTTCCATCTTAGTGTAATATCTTATGATTAGATTTCCAGCACCTAACCCTCTGCCCTTCCTGAGGCCTGAGGATTCATTTTTCAAATGCTGCTCCAGCCAACCACCCTCTGTCCACATTGGCATGAACATACTGGATGACCCTTTCTCTCCCTCCAGGAACTTGGAAGAGCCTCTTCTCTCCCAGTTCTCTGCCTGAGTTCCCACAACAGGCCCTCCTCACCATCAGACCCACCCTCCCTGCTGCAGCTCTGCTGCTCCCAGTGGGCCCCAGTCCAGATGGAGGCGCCAGCACTGCCTCCTCTGGGAGCCCTCCTCCCTTGCACTGTCAGTCTCAGAAGCCTTGCTGGTTCCCAAGCTCTCTGTCCCACCTGGAAACTCATCTTACACACAGACCTAGGAGCTCAAGACAAAGCCATGCCTAGGGGCCTGAGCTCAGGGAATGTGTGGAGGGACAGAATGGTGGTGGGGGTTGCTGACCCAGAGAGCTGAGCTCTTCAGGGCAGGCATCCTGTTGGGCCAGCAGCATGGCCACGGATCAGCCCCCAGGCCCAGGGCTTCTGAAGCTCCTGTAGCTGGTGGAACCAGATGAGGCCTAAGCTACTAGGAGGGACCCCCTTGACCCAGCCTCCAAACTGCAGGCCGCTGTTTCCACTTTGGCAGTGACCTTGATTGCCCAACAGGCTGGAGCAACCACAGCGTCACACCTCTGAGGAAATGAACTCTCAAAGAATGGTGTTATCCTGCTGTTACCTAAGGCCAGGAGTGGGAGGCCAGCCAGTGAGGCTGGGGGAGGTTAGCACAGCCCTGTAGAGGTGTCCACCTGGTGCCCTCCTACCCCTGGGGACAGGAATCCTAAAGCCCTGGCTAGGCTATGGTCTGAGTGACCTGGCCTGCCCTGGGAGGTGATCTGAGGACAGGGAAGTATGGTGGCTGCTGGGCTGGCCCAGCTGGCCCAAGAATGTGGGAGAGTTTCCCTGGTAGAGAGCGGCCCGCCCTGCAGGGAGAGGCCTGGCAGATGGGGGCCCTGGCTGGAGCCAGCCTGCTGACCACAGCCTAGGATTGGCAATGCACTGCCTGATCCTCTGTGGGCATGAGGGTGGGACCCTCTGCAACCTGTCCTCATCCCCCAGCTCTCTGCTCAGCCCCCAATCAGCCTCCGTGGGCTCCAGGCTCAGGTGGCAACTCCAGCTTAGTCCTTTTCCCCAACCTAGTTGACAATGGCCCAGGGATTTGGAGCCCACCTGACCTAACTTCAACTCCTGCACAAATGAAGTCTTTCTCTGGGGAAGTGGGGAGAGTCCACTGTGAGAGGAAGCAGGGGAGCCCATGCCCAGTGCCTGGCACACTGTGAGTGCCTGAGGAAGGTAGAGAGGTGCCCTTGCCAGACTGCAGCTTTGGGGTCCTCTCAGATCTGCACCCACAGCCCCCATCTTGCCTTCCCCACTTCATACCCACCCAGGTGGAACATCTGGAATCTTCCTACCTGCCCTGGGGGCCCAACCATTGGGTGGGGAAGAGGAGGCCCATCCTGTAGCTTTAGGCAGGCCTTGGGAGCAGGGGGCTCAGTTGGAGCTCCAGGCAGGGCAGAGGGCTCCTGGGGTTGGGGGGCGGGAGGGGCAGACAGATCTGACCTGACCCAGGACTCACCAAGCCACAGCAGCAACAGCAGCAGTGCAGGGGGTAGGGGCTGCCTCATGTTCTCAGCCTGGTCCAGCTGAGTGGGGGGTCAGAGGTGGCAGGAGCTCCTGGCACTAGCGAGGTGCAGGGCTCCATGAAGTGGGGTTTTATGCTGTAGGTGAGTGTTGTTCCTGCTATGCCACCCAACCTGTCAGCCCAGCCCATCCAGCTCTGCTCCATCAAGAAGGAGGCGCCCCAGAACCCTGGCTCCTCACTGACCTGGTCCTGAACCCCTTGAACCCCGCAGGCCAGACCCCTCACCCCACACACCCTCGGGTGCTGGTGCCAAGATGTGCCTGTTTTTTTATGTGACCTGGGGACTTGTGCCCTGGAGTCCCCCCACCATGAGCTGATCGGCCACTCCCCAGCAGGCCCAGACCCCCCCACAACTGATCACAGTCCTCATCTGTGTTGGGGCAGCTCCCCCATAAGACCCTCGGTTCATTCATTCGTTCATTCAATATTCATGAGCACCTTCTACGTGCCCAGCTTCCAAGAGGGCGGCCTTAACGCTCTCACGGAGGCGGGATCTGAGGACGGGCACTGAAGAGTCAGGCGCCGGGCGCTTGTGCAGCAAAGAAGCGCCGGGGGAAGTGGGACCACGGGCCGCAGAGCCCCACCGGCGCGCAGCCCCGATGGAGCCCGGGCGGGCGGGGCGGAAGCCATTCCGGGAAGGCGGCGGGTGGCGGGCCGGGTGGCTGTCCCGCGCCTGCCTTGGGCGCGCCCGCCAGGTCCAGGACGCTCGGCCGCGGCGGAAGACGTCCGAGAGGAAGTTATTTGGGACACTGGACTGACGTCAGAGCAGGAGTCGGGGCCGGGGCGGACATGCCCTCCGCGTCCGCGGGTCGGCGTCCAGGTGCGGGGAGGGCCCGGGACGCCGCCCTGCCTCGGTGGCCCGCGCGGGCGGTGGGCGTGTCGCGGTGCCGTCGGCCCGGCCCGCCCCCTGGTGGCCGCCAGGCACGGAGCTGTCCCGCCGCCGGGGCCGCCCATTGTTTCCCTGTCCCCCGCGACCCCTGGGTCGTCCCCAGGCGCGGAACGCCTTTCCTCCGACCCTCCTCTGTCCCTGGAGTCCGGTGTGTGAGAAAGCGGGGCTGCCTCCGGTAGCTGGAGGGAGGAAGAGGGAAGACTCCAGAGTCGTTCGTTTATTCACTCATTCAACACTTTGGGTGCCCAGCGCTTCTAGGTATGGGGAACAGAGGTGAACAAAAGACACGCCCTGCAGCGGGGAGGAGATGGCAGGCGTCATTTACTGGAGAAAAGGGTCTAATTATCAACTGGAAAGTGTTTCAAAACCTCTGGGTGACCACACTTCTCCAGGCACTCAAGAAACAGTAGGGCTGGAGATGTGTCCCAAGCGGTAACGCTCACCTGGCGTACGCGGGGCGCTGGGTTCGATCCTCAGCACCACATAAAATAAACAATAAAGATGTTGTGGGGCTGGGCATGTGGCTCAAGCGGTAGCGCGCTCGCCTGGCATGCGTGCGGCCCGGGCTCGATCCTCAGCACCACATACCAACAAAGATGTTGTGTCCGCCGAGAACTAAAAAATAAATATTAAAAAATTCTCTCCCTCTCTCACTCTCTCTTTAAAAAAAATAAAAAATAAAGATGTTGTGTCCACCGAAAACTAAAAAATAATTTAAAAAAAGAAAAAAAAAAGAAACAGTTTGGGACCCTTTGAGGCTAACTGCTTTCTCTTGGATGCCTTTCTTCATCCCCTCCTCTTTTAAATGAGATCTGGCGATTCAGGATGGTTTGGCCATAGACTTCAGCCAGTTCCCCAAAGCCAGTTCCTCTGAAGTCTTGCAAAAGAAGTCTGTATGCAATTAGAAAGCAAGGACACCGGGAAAGGCTGGACTCCGGAGGAATAAAATAGGGGTCTGCAATCAGACAACCAGCACCCTGGTTCCCCCTGCAGCACACACACCAGCTGGCTCACTCGTGGGCCTGTGAAACCCAAAACTGATATCAGGCAGCAGGGCAGGGCTGCAGTGAGCGAGAAGCTAGGTGTCTTCTGCACACCATCCACCGAACAAATGAAGAAGAATCCAGAATGATTTCAAATTTCTCCTAAAAATTGGAACTGGGGGAGCTGGGGTTGTGGCTCAGTGTGGAGTACTTGCCTAGCATGTGTGAGGCACTGGGTTCAATTCTCAGCACCACATATAAGTAAATAAAGGCCCATCAACAAGTTTTATTTATACATACATATACATACACACACATATATAATACATATTAATATATATTATATAAAAGAAACTGTTCAGTGAAACATTGAATACAAGGGCTGGGGATATAGCTCAAGGTTTAGAGTGCTTGCCATGCATAAGCCCCCAGTACAGGAAGAAGAAGAAGAAAAGAGAAGGAGAAGAGGAAGAGGAGGAGGAGGAGGAGGAGGAGGAGGAGGGAAACACTGGATGCAAAAGGTGAAATGGGTGAAGGACCCAGAGGAGTCACCAGGAGGAAACCAATTTGGCTAATGGACTTGCTGAGAAATGTCCAGCCTCAGTAATTAAATAAATGCAAATCAAAGCCACAGAAGGAGCTGCCAGTTGTCCGTAAGGGGTTAGCACAGAGTTGGAGGTTGGAGGAATGACATTAGTTATGGCCAGGGGGAAGTGGGTCAGCAGGTGGGCATGGAACTGGCCTTTTGTCAATCAGTGCCTCTGTGTTAAAGGAGTTATTTTCTTTGATGTGTGACTTCTTCATCCCTGGAAGTCCATCCAGTCTTAAGTACAGAAAAGGCATTTTGACCAAAGATATTCATGCCTAGTTTATTTATATTTGGAAAAACAAACAAAAACAAAAACTTGTAGGGCAACAGCAAATACATCCTCTGAACAGAATTTATAAAAATGACATTTTCAGGGTAAATATGGACAATGCTTGTGATTTGTAGGAAATTAGAAAAAGGGGGGTATAAAGATTTGTAGGAAGGGTAATAACAATGAAAAAATTTTAAAACTTAATAACAGCAACATTTTAAAGAAAAGGCTTGCCCAAGGTACTGCCATGACCAGTTGTCCTGAACTCATGGGAATTTCTTTTGATCAGGTCTGGTGGAACTCAACAGATGCCCACAGTTGGGGGTTCCTGGACTCCCCGCAGGGGTTCCAGTTGAAGGTGAACTGCAGGATTGAGTGGTGCTGAAGTCAGCCTCTCCCTGGAGCCTGCCTGCTGCGTTCTGAGAGGGCTCCCAGAGCCAGGATGCACTGCAGCTGGAGTTTCCTCTCCAAGGAATTCCAGCTAAAAGATTAGAGCTTCTTGCTCTCCCACTCCCTGCAGACAATCCCAGGGCAGGACGTTAATGGGAGCCTGACTTCTGGCCCCATGGTTGACCCATAATGGCCTCAGGAAGGGTGTGGTAGAAGAAAGGAGGGAAGAGCTAGGTCAGTCAGATGCAGTGTCACTTTGCTCCCAGGCAAGAGTGCAAGAAAAAAAGACATTTTCATGCATCATGAAAGCTCTCAAAAGCTTTCCCCACACACCCTACTCCTGGGAAGCCGCTAAAGAAAAGATGTTCTCCCAGAGGAGTAAATCAAGGAAGCAGAAGATGTAGGCTGTAGGAAACAGAGAGTGGTCAGAGAAGAGCAGTGAAGGAACCCTTACCATAGTATGAGGATAGTGCTCCAGTTTAGGCCGGCTGCTCATCAGCCTTGAGACTCCAGAGATGGGGTTGCTGCTACTGCCATCAGCATCCCCCCCCCCACACACACACAGCATCATCTTTAACCTGATGAGGCCACTGCAGGATGTGCTCCATCAGAACGAGATCAGCAGAGAAAGACGTGAGATCCAAGACACAGGGCATCCAAATCAGGAGAAAGGCAAGTGCACCCAAGGAAGACAGTAGTCTCTAGAGAGCCGCAGTCCAGAGGGAAGGCAAAGGGGACACAGCACAGGAAGATGCAAAAGCAACCAAGTTCCTCAGCCACCTGAAGTTCTGTGTTCACAACATTAATGTCACTGGCCCACTTGCTCCCACTATTGGCCTGGAATAACTTTTTCCACCCTTTCTTTTCTTTCTTTACTGTTTTCCAGATGAGGTGGTCTTCCCAGCCCCCATCAGGTCTTCTCCACTGCTGGAGTCCCTGGCCAGGCCTCGTGTAGGCTGGAGGCCAAGGGAGTCAGCTCCGCCTGCAGGTCACATGAGGCATCCAGTCAGGGGCTTAGTCACAGATGTGGTCCCAGTTGGTTCTGGTTCTCCCTGCTCTGGCTTGACATTTTCTCCATCAGCCCTCGTAGCAGCAAGTCCCTGGGCACAGTGCCCTCTCCGCCTCCCTTGCTCTCAATATGCTGCACATAAAAGTGAACCCTACGCTTAATGCCTGACTCCACATCACTCCTGGGGGTTCTGCTTCCCCACCAAAACTAACGGGAATACATGAACGTATTTTGCATCGATGCCATTTCAATAGTGGAAATCAAAAGACCATTGATTCAATAAACATCACTGAAAAAATTAGCAAATAAAATTGGAAAATAGTTTATCTTCATGTCATTCAAAAACTTATTTTTAAAATCCAAAACTATAGGAATATCGAAAAGATATGTGGGGGCTGGGAATGTGGCTCAGGCGGTAGCACGCTCGCCTGGCATGCGTGCGGCCCGGGTTCGATCCTCAGCACCACATATAAACAAAGATGTTGTGTCCGCCGAGAACTAAAAAATAAATATTAAAAAATTCTCTCTCTCTCTCTCTCTCTCTCTCTCTCTCTCTCTCTCTCTCTCTCTCTCTCTCCTCTCTCACTCTCTCTTAAAAAAAAAAAAAGATATGTTTATAATCCTGGAATACAAAGTACACACATAAAGACTGAAACATCTAAATGTATCAAGATTAAAAAATTTTCAGAGGCAGCTTCGTTTTTCAGGTTTGGCATAGCCTTTTTTTTTAGGCAAATTCTCACTATATTGCCTAGTCTGGCCTTGAACTCCTTGGCTCAAGAGAGAGATCCCCCTGCTTCAGCTTCCTGAGTAGCTGGTATGAGAAATACAAAGTCTGGTGGTCCACTTTCA